AGCGACCTAGATATTTTATAATAAGAATTTGATACAATAAATTAAATCTATCTACTTTAAATTTTTGATATAAGTATTTTGTTAATCAATTGTGATTAATATGTTCTGCCCTATAGGATCGACAAGCACTCTTTCTAGTCATGGTGATTGAGTGCTGGAAACAAAGGCAAAATAGTAGTAAAATTCCAAACTTTCAATAAGAATAGCACCTTTTTTTCAGGGGCACAAGCCTTTGTGCTGAAGAAAAGAAAGTCTGAGAAGTGGTTGGTTAAAATAAATAGTGTTAAAATGTCAAAAATTCATGATACTAAATCAAGTTGAATAATACAACTGATAACAAAGAAAATCTCAGCCCTGTTGCAGATAGCCACGAATCTAAGAATAAATCTTTAGCAAGCAATGAAAAGAATGCCAATAGATGGTTTGATATGACTGAAGAAGAACAAACACGAAGAGACACAATAGTCTCTAGAAAACAGGTTGAAAAAGCTGCTCTAACGGAGAGTAATATGGAAAGTTCTGGAAGAATGATCAAACCGAGATTACATGATGTAAATATATCTGACCTGGTAGATATAGAAATTGTATTCCAGCTACAAAATGTAAATGTAGGTTAGGAAAAAATTCTTTCCATTAATTATTTATACTAAAAATTGGCCAGTTAAAAATTGTTAATAGCACAATATTTTATTAAGATAACTGTTGTTTGCATCTTAAGTAAAATTGTTCAGCTCAAAATTTTACATATAATTTGAAAGTTTCAAGTCTCTATCTTTTAATTATTTCTCCGAAACTGCCTTTACAACTTACCTGGTAGCTCTAAAATAAGTTGTTAAGCTCACTCATCTGGTCAAAACAAGCTCTTATTGAAAATGTATGACCTAATATTGACCAAGTTACAGACTAAAACTCTCTTTGCTCCTCTGTAAAAATTTTTTAAATTTTTTCTTTGTTTTTACCCCAACTTTTTTTCTCTCAACCTGTTTTTTGTGTAACAAAACATCATTTCCAAACTTAGATTTATTTAAATTTTCTATTATATAAATAAATTATCTAAAATAGTAACCCAATTATTAATACGAAACTATTTTTATCAATTGTTACATAATTCTATTTTTATATAATTTTTGTGCTCCAATACACAGTTTAGTGTTATGTGTAACCCCTTTGTTACACCAGCCACACTAGCCACACCAGCCACACTCTTGTACTACTCTAAACTAATTTGGGTTACACAAGGTTATACAAGCCATATTGGCCGCAGTTGTAATACAACAACTCTGCTTTTATCTACCCTTGTTTTAATACAATATACTTTGCATTGTCATAATAATTTACATACCCCAGCTTTAATTTGTTACCCTGGTAAAAAGCCTCTTATAATATTATATCTTTTAAATTTAAATTGCAAAAAAGTTAACTAAGTCTTCTTAACTAGTATTATTAAGCAAACTCGTAGATACAATGTCTAACTTAACCTCTGTAGAACCTGACACTGTAAATCTTGACTATTTTTATAAGGGTAGCTGCGCAGCGTGTGACGCGGCGCAGGACCAGTACGATCATGTACGCTGTTGTGAAAAGCTCAAGGAA